GTTTAATGACACGGACTCCTTTTGATGACGAACTCCGAATTGGCTGTGTCGTTTGTGATGGCTGGTTGGGATTACGAGAAAGTTTAATGACACGGACTTGTGTTGGTGACAAACTTCGAACTGGTGCCATCATTTTTGATTAATTCGTTTCTGTTGTATTTCTATTCGCAACTTCGATTACTAACAGCCAAGGATGTGTCGTACGAGTCGAGGGTGTTTGTTGCAGTGAAAAAATGATTATGCGCACTATATTTCGCTGATGCCTTATAATATATATTGTATTTCAGCATAAAAAATAAAAAAAGACATCATATTATTTTTTTTCTCAAGTAATTCATTGTTTCATGCAGCGGCACGATGCATTCTAAGATACTAGAAAGGCTTCCAATTGATTTGTTTAGTATGAAAAAAAAATGTAATTTTATTCCGAATCAGTGAAACAATAAAAAACAATAGATGGAAGTGTGTGGCATGAAAACAACATTGATGGGTACTGTTAGCGTTCGTCCTTTTTGATCATGCTACAGTTCGTTCTCTTTCTTTAAAAAATATGTATAGGTGTATGTATGTGTACACTTACATATCATCTTTTATTATCTGTTAAAATAATGAAAAACACATACATATAAAGTAAACAAGAAGAGAGAAAAGAAACAGAACAGAGACTAAATATATGGATAACAAAGAAGAATACTAGATATATCACTGAGAAAGAAATAGAAGAAGAAATAAAAAATGAAATAAATATCGAAAATAGATGGCGAGTTGTATCAGTGTGACATCACTGTAACAGGCACTATAATTTCTTTAAATCTTACGTGATCGTTTCATCAGATCACTTCAAAATCGGTTTGGTGTATAGGTTTGGGTGTGGCTGTGGGTCTATGGGATCTGGCTGTGCGCGTAGATGTGTGAGGTATGGGTCTATGGGATCTGCCTGTGACTGTGGGTGTGGAGCGTGGTTGTGAAGTGTGGGTCTGTGGATGTTTGGATGTGTGGAGTATGAATCTATGGGTTCTAGCTGCGAGCGTGGGTGTATGGGGTATGGGTCTATGGGATCTGGCTGTGGGTGGGTGTGGGTGTGGGGTATGGGTTTGAGTGTGGGACATGGGCATGGGTGGGGAGGGTGGGCACAGGTACGGGTGTGAGTGTAGGTGTAGGTATGGGTATGGGGTATGAGTGTACGTATGGGCATAGGTGCGAGTACGGATGTAGGTGTGGGTGTGGGTGTAGAGGTGTGCGGGTATGGATGTAGGTATGGATGTGGGTGTAGAGGTGTGCGAGTATGGACATTGGTTATCTATGCACTCACATCCACACCCACACCCTTCTTCGATATCTCTGTCATTCTCTGCTTGTCTAATAGGTTTTGTTATTTCTTTATTCGCAAATTTCGAGTGTCCCAAGTTCTTTGCTGCACAGATAAATGAGAAAATCTTGATTTTTTAAAAGATGCGTCGGTAAATTTTCTACAATAATTAAAGTTAAAGATTCCTTTGATTTATTCTAATTGATGTTAAGAGGATTAAACAAGACGATGTACAAGACATTGTAGTTTTTCACCTTCTAAATTCCGTTCGTTTCTCTATCTAACCAATCAATTACCTTTTGGTCACTTTTAATTCTTTCTAACGGTTTTCGAACATTAAGAAGGTCACTCTGACAATATCACAGTATTTTAGCAACGAGTTTTCGTACAATAAACTTATTTTCAAGAATAAACTTGTCATTTCTGGAGCGCTTATTTCGCTTTTATAGTGACAAAATATAGTATCTAGCAGATTTTGTTTTGTTTAATTCTTTTAGCACCGATTAGAATAAATTAAAAGGATCTTTAATTTTGATTATTGTAGACGATTTAACGACGCATCTTTTTAAAAAAACTCAAGCTTATAAGACTTATCTGTGTAGAGATATATGCAAAATAAACTACATTACAAACATTTTCAAATATCCGGTATGTATTACTTGCCGCTAACGAGGGAAGTATTCTAACCGACACCCACCGTTTGACCTTATATTGGACCTATGAGGAGGTCTCGATGAGACTAGTAAAAGCCTACAAGGGTTCGTTCTCACGGGATTTCGAAGCCGAGTTATGACCGTTTTACTGAATTTTTGACATATTTTTAGGTATCTATCGAAAAATAAAATACCCAAATTTTGACTTAAAATTTTTTCGATACATAGGTTTAATAACCGTTAGAGTATCTTGAAAGTTTCAGTCGAAAAGAATGCTCCTTTCTCAAGATACTGAATTTCCAAAAAATTGTCGCGTATCACAGACACGTCACAAAAATCAAGTTTACCTGAGAATTCAATATCTCGACAAAGGAACATTCTTTTTGACTGAAACTTTCAAGATATTCTAACGGTTATTGGACTTATCTAGAGCAAAACTTTAGGTCGAAATTTCGTTATCTGATTTTTCAGTAAATACCTAAAAATGAGTCGAAAATTCAATAAAACGATTATAACTCGGCTCCTAACATCCATAAGGACGAACCCTTATAGACTTTTGCTAGTCTCATCAATATCTTCTTGTGGGTCCCATATGAGTTGAAACGGTGGGTACCAGTCGGAGCGGTTTTCTTGTAAGCTGTCAGGCTTCACAATGCGATATTTCAAACGAAAATTGGCAAAATTCTTTAATGGTATTTGAACTATGTGTTTTCTTGCGAATGTATGTTTACAAAAATGAATCGTCTGCATTAGTCATCACAAAAAAAAATAAATTAAGAATAGGTTCGTCAATGATTGTCATTGCATCCAATATTGTGTTTCAAAATTTTCTGGTTCCAATCCTCTTCATCATGATAAAATGATGTATAAAAACTACATTCATGTTTATCAGGTAATTTTCTTGTTGTCTTATCCCATTGTAAATTTCTTACATCGTTTGCACTTTCTTGTCCAAGACATTGATAAACAACTGTGTACTCTAACCGAAATGTAAAATGACGTTACAAACGCAAGACAAAAATCCAAAATACTTTCGAAAGATAGTTTTAAATTATCATTTAATAAGTTAATTTAATCGAAGTATCAAATTGCTTATCGTCTCCATTGAAACTACATCTACAACGCCATAAATGAAAAGCAATATTTTGACTTTTACACATGAGACATTCTTTATAAATTGTTGCCCAAAATTGTTGACGAATTGTTTCACTTTGTTTACCAACTGAAAATTGAACATCACCATTAATACCTATTTTCTTAAAAATAATACTTACTTTCTTATTGACAATTGCTTCTCTATTTTTGCACTGGTTGCTACTGTATGAATCGAGTGAGCTGATGTTTGGCAAATATATATACATATAGCCTTACACATGAAAAGAAGAGTCAATTTTTCATCATACATAAATAGGTCAGTGTTTTTTTTCTTCTTTTCTTTCTTTTTCTTTTGAGAACAACATGCAGCGCAATACTCTACAATAATAAAAATGCTCATGTCAGCGGAAGAAAAGATATTACAGTCTTCATTAGTTTTATTTTGAAATGATTTATCTTGGTTAATATGTTCAGATGCCATATATTATATGTATTTTATATTGAATTTGACATTAACTATCATCCTTTCAATAATATACGTAGAAGATAACAATATTGGATACGTCAAAAAATCGAAAACTTATTCTGATTATTTGAAAAAGGATTAATCAAACAAGAAATATTAAAATAATATTTGAGCTTTCTAATAGAGAGAGAATATTCATAGATCCTAGAAAACTCTAGTGACCTATCAGAAGTCATAAGAGAATTTAAAAAACCTACATAAGAGAAGCTTATCCACTGAATTATTTTTTGAGATATACTAAATAAATAAAAATGAATTTATTATTTAAAATAAAATTTACCAATGAGTTGTCAATTGAGATAAAGTTAAATAAACAAACAATTTACTCGATTTATAAGTTAAAACTTATCATTTAATTAATTATTGGGATACACTTAAATGAATATAAAATAGGGGATGACAGTCATCATTACCAGCCATGTACGTTACTGAGTTATGGATAACTAAACATTTGTGAGTTTGCTTTTTTTTTCACTAAAGGAATACTTTTCTGACAAACAGACAAGTTTCCATAAACTTTGACCAAGAGTTTTCGGGGTCAAAGAATCTGAATTTCTAATAGCTTTCTTGACATTTGTGAGTTTGATTTTTCTATTAAGAAAAGACTATGTTGGGAAAATGATGATATTCGATAAAACTTGATCGAACGCTGTCAAGGTCATAGAATCCAAATCTGTAAGTACTGTTCTGATAAAAGTTAAACTCAAAAATTCCGAGAAATCAATTAGAAATTCAGATTCCTCGATTCCGAATACTTTTGACAAGTTTCATTAAAAAAAACGATTTTTTGGTGACATATGTCTGCTTTAACCAAAGAACTTGAAATGGAATAGTGAACGGGAAAAATCATAGATATTATTATTACCATTACAAACGATAACGAGAGCTAAACGTATGAATATCCTTTAGAGTAATGCAGTAAAGTGAATTCAGTTTGACACCACACGATTTCCATGAAAGAGTAATAACTTCCTTACCCAAAATAAACTAAATATCCTCAGAATTGAGGAATGTGAGTTCATTTGGAGTAACGGTCTCATTACTCAGAATGAACCATAAAGATTAAAATAAAGTTAATATTCACAATGCACTGACGATTCTGATTAAAGTTTTGAAAAGTGAGAAACATGGATTTGAGTATCATCGTTGGTTGCATGATACCCAGTACCAAAGACACATTGACTTTACAAGGTGTACCAGCAAGTGGATTAGTTCGATGATGTAAGATATTGCATGCGTTATTCTCGAGATGAATAAATATGTGCATGAGAAATCTCACTCGAAAAGCATACACAATCAGTCTATAATGCATGAGGCTCAGTATTCTAGTGGTAGAATGTTCGCTTAGGGAGCGAGCGGCCCAGGTTCGATTCCTGGCTGGGCCCGATTTTTTTTGTTCTTCGGTATTCTTTTACACTGAGCATGAAGTTACAATTGGTTGTTGTATGGTCGACATCTTTTCTTTGTTCTGTTAAGCCTTATGATATGGCAGAGTGAATTTTAAAAGGATTAGGTGAAAATTGTCAATAGAGACACAATTCAATACATAGTTAGAAATCAATATGAATCGTTTGTTCTGTCTCTCTCGCAATGGGATTATAAAGAATAACAAGCTACTCTACAGAAAGGTAGAATTTAAGAGGAACAATATTTGCTTTCTTTCTCTCATTGGAGTATGACTCATTTCTCTGTGTTATTGCATCACGAGAGAGCGACAGAACATGCAATTCTATACCTTTTTGTGACTCTATTGTCAATTTTTGCTTCGACCCTATGGATTGTGCCGTATAAAAAAAGGTTCAAAAATGTCGATCGTTCAAAGTTTAATTGCAACTTCACTTTTAGAGGTTCAAAGAAATGGGAGAAAAAAATTGGGCCCAGCCAGGAATCGAACCTGAGCCGCTCGCTTCCGAAGCGAACATCCTACCACTAGAACACTAAGCCTCATACATTGAAAAGATACGCACACTAGTCCATTGAGAACATATGGACAAACGACAGCAGCTGATTAAAGCATATAATATGTACCAACCGGAAATGCTCTCAACAAAGACAGATTGAATTGCTTTAGGACTCCTTATCGTCCGATTGTAAACTAATTTACAGACGTCACTTAATGAAGACAACATAGCATAGATTCTTTACGCATAGAATGTTTCGTGTTATTTGGCGGAATGTCGTTGTGGGTGTGGATGATGATGCACTTTTCACCCACATCCACGCCCAACGTCCCAGTAACGAATCCCTTCAATGTCAGATTAAACTTCAGTCACTGCTAGAAGATTTTTCACTAGTTAAATTATCGGTGGAAGAATCACATAGTTTTCTGGGAAAAGTGAAACATAAATCAAGATTTAGCACTGAAAGAAAAGATCAATAAAATATGATATGTTTGGTCTGATGGAACATTTCTATGAAAGATTACAAATTTTCAAGAGAAAATGAGTAAGTAGAAGATTTATTCATTTTCACAGGTGAAAGCAGAATATGTCGCGAAAGAGTAAATCAAAATAATACTTAGAGTTGTGTAATGTCGACTCAGAAATGAAATTTTAGCTGAGCATCTCAACTGGTATAAGCTTATAGTCATTGGAACATGTAACACACAAAGTAGTAAATGGATGCGTGGGTTAATGATATCCAGTTCTCAAATTGTTTTCATCACTTCTGTCTCCATGAGAATGGAAATGCTCGACGTACACATATGTAACTGGTTTTATACTCATGCTTGGATCACATAACCCGATACTCAAATTTCTGTTTATTCATCTAGGATAATATTTTGTACAAAACAATCAAACTGCAGCACAACGACATATAGAGTTGTTTCAACCAAAGATTAGATCGAATAGTTTCCAACGACTATGATCAGATCTAAATATTGAAAGTGGTATTCCAGATGATTCTGATAATATGCCAAAATCACAGTTGCCATATGCTTTGACTCTCAATCCAAATCTACCAATATACGTTCAACAAGCGACGATGCAATAAGTAATCGAAGGGAGAGGTCGAGAACAATTCAAAAACGGTCTTTAACTTAGTAGAGCACTAGGTTCCCATGACAACTGTGATTCATAAACAAATATTTATATCTGTTTAGTGCAGTTTTTCAATAAAGGTTTTGTTATTCTATCAAGTCCATAAAAGTTGTGAGAGTACGAAAAGATTGTATTCCCAAAGTATTAGTAATGTTTACTCTCAATTAGCATGTCACATATACATTAAGATTTGATTTTTTTCAGAATTATTTAGTACATCATAAATCTCACCTAATGAAGAAAGGATACTTCGGAATATTTCAGTTTTGCATAAAACTTTCGTTAGAACAAGAGGAAAAAATCGGATTTGAATGATATGTGAGGAATGAGGTAGCTTATTGTTGAAAAAATATTTCTTTGAAAAGAATTTCTGGAATAAAAATCAGTCTACAATCAATCAAAAAAGCAATAAATCGCATTTTTTGAAAAAAACTGTAGTGTTATTGTATATGGAAATGATTGTTATATGATCGGGAACTCATCAAAGTTAGTATTTCGTTATATTTCACTAACGAAAGACAATCACTGTGTTATCCAGTATGCTGACGTAATAAATCTGGTGGAATGGGAGTTTGTTGAGCCCGTCTCTCTGCTTCCTGTTTAATCAAGATCTGCTGAATATAAGTTGGCAAACCAGAATTAAGACTTAAAGCGTATGGCAATAATGTTTTCGGTATATCACCGAAGTCTACCATTATTTTGATGAACATTGTATCATCTCGAACATAAGGATTTCCCTCTTGTTCAATCATTGCCAAAGGAAAAAACTTCGGTATACCACTTGCGATATTCATTTCAGAGCGTGGTCGTTGAAAACTATTGGATTTAATATCAGGCCGAAACGAATCGATGATGTGTCGTTGTGCCGGAGTTTGGTCATACAAACAAAATGTGACCTTATAGTTGAACGGAAATTTCAAGAGCGCATCATTTTTACTTCGCATGAGTACAAAAAAGAGTGACAAATGTGTACGACGAGCATTACCATCGCCATTTAGATATAAACGAGCGCGCATTTTATACCCAATCGGTGATGAGTAAAACGGCGGTGAATAGATGGAGGTTTGTCGTTCCGATTGGGCATCAACTACAAACAAACATTTAAAATACTGGCATGTCTATAAACTAAAACTATCAATGAAAATTTTTATCGAAAGCAACACAAGGCAGGTTATGAAAAATAGGTTTTTATCAGTATAGAAACAGAGCATTCATTCAAACGTGAATATTAAAATACAGAACATAGAAAGTGATAAAGGCTTTAATCCCGGATTATTTGTGGATGAGAGTAGAATATTTTGCAGAAGCGAAGGTGAAAGTGATAGAAGCTTTACTCATTTTTTCCTTGACAGCAGTTATTTTCCATATCAATGTTCCATCGTAAGAAATATATTGCATATCTTCCACTTTCTGTTTTAATGATGCAACATCTTGATGAAGAATTTCTTGATTAGGTTTAATTCCATCTAGAAAAATATTTTGCTCTTGAACGCTTAGTTGCAGAGTGGTAAAATTTTTGGTTAAACCATCCGTTGTATTCTGTATATGAAGTGACTCAGTACTAAGACGTTGTATATCTTCATTCAATGTTTCAATTCCTCCGGCAAGTATGTCAATTATTTCGCATATCTCCTGTAGTTGAGCACTCTTGTTATTATTGTCGTGTGGAATCATGAGCGTAGTAGAATGAGGCATTATATCCACGTCCATACTCATTCCCATACCAGAATTTCCTCGGTGCTTATCACTAGCCAGTTGGAATATAAAACGACGTACAAAAGTCATTATTGCATTTTGATGTTGTTCAGTCATATAATGAGTTGGCATTGCCACGCGTAGTACGGGTTCCGAACAACCAAACTCTTTGAGAGCACAAGACACAGTAATTTCATCACATTTGCTTGCTTTATGTAGGTCAGGACTGTTCGTCGAACCAAATTTTTTGTTACAATACTCACATGTTCGATTCGGATGAACTTGTTGAAGATGAGTCTTAAAAAATTATGCATCACTACGAAAATTTTACAAGTTTTAGGAATAATTGGTAATCGGTTTTTGCAGACGTCAGAAAACAGCTATGACTATAAAGTGAAGATTGATCATCTTCGAAAAAGTTGTTATTCTTAATGCAACTGGCACATCATTCGAGTGCTAAGTATCTGAAGTCAACAGGCAACATTAAGTCAGGCATTAATCTAATACCTTTTCGTTCAGATACTCTAATCCAACTGGAAATTATGAATCGATTCTGTAATGATAGACTCGCAAATTTAAATGAGCTGTAACAGTTTTTTGACAAGAGAACAATATGAGATTATTCATGTATCTAATAACAAGTTGAACTTTTCAATGTCTGACATCCTTATTCGACGTTCTAGAGATAAACTTTTGTTTTTCATTTAATCCATCAACAAAATAAATTTTAGTATTCAACTTTGTTTGCTCTATCTTATAATGTTGTCTGTATATGAGATAATTTCACGTATTGTATTAGGTTCTCTAGAGATAAGCGTTAGTAAGTCATCATACCTCGTATTCTTTCAATAACCCGTTCCAATCACATAAAGAACATGTGATAGCTAATGTTTGCATATCATTTTTGAAACCTCTGTCAAGCAGCACCTAAAAAAGTAAAACATATCGGTTAAATAAAGATCAGTTTCATATTCTAACCTCTCTTTTCAGACTCTCTTTCTTACATTCTGGACATTTTACTACTTCACTTAGAAATACAAAGATAAATTCGAATATGAATCAATGAAAATCTATATTTTACCCATCAATTGATTCAACACATGATTTACATTGTCTATGGCCACAAAGAAGTTGAACAGGATCTCGTAAAATAAGTGAGCATATTCGACAGAGAAAAGCTAAACCTAGAAGGTCTTTATTTCTTGCGTTAAAACCAACCGTCCTGTCGCAAAACTATAATATAACACTAGAAAAATAAGTAAAAACCGCAGAAAAACAACAAACTTTCGAATTCAAGTGGATGCTTTGACTTGCCATTGTTTCCTGTACGTTAGGTCCTGAATCGAAAAGTAAAGAAACATCAGAATCACAATCAATTACAAATGAAATTAACTTTACTCTTGAGGGTGTCGGCGTGAGTGTGGTGTGTGGGTGTCGATCTTTACCTTACTCACACCCACACCCAACACCCACACCCCACACCCTCGAATGTGTTTTTAATCCATCTCAATCACTCTCACCCGCACCAACACTGTTCGGATGTGCTGTAGCAAGACATATGTTCTACTTTTACATCATTACAGTGGGTTTAACCTGCGTTATTATCATTTTCGATATTTTTTCTTTCGGTCTTTTTAAAGCATACCATTTATATATTATTCATATTTCCGTTATTGCTTCCTATTACGTCACTTCTCTTCATTATTACTCATTTTTCTACGAACATCGTCAATATTTGATTATTGTCAATCAAAGATATTAAACGCATTCGATTATTATGATTAGGTAACATAGCATTAAAATCAATACGAATTCAAGATTAATCTATCAGAATTAGTACATTTTCGCCGACCAGTATCGCCAAATAAGGTTGTGACGAACAACGATCCGTCGAGTGTTTATCTTTTCCCTTCTCTTTTCTTCTTCTTCCTCCTTCCTCACTTCCGCGTTCACGTATAAATAGGGTGTTGGTGTGGGTATGGATGATGATGCGTTTTTCACCCATACTCACACTCTGGTGCCGCGGATAAGGATCGTTGAACTGAATTGGTAACCATTTGACATAATAATGGACTAATTACTTAAAATAAGATGTTCTATACAGTATTAATCATACTGAATTTCCATTTGTTTATGATTATGAATTTATTAAACTTATGCTCAGTAAACTTTCTTTCGCGCAAATTGTAATTATCGGCCTATAAACAGTTTACTAATTATTTTTATCTCTTCTCACTTATTGTATTTTGTTTTCGACATAACTTTTAAATTCGCATATATTTTACGAAAAAAATATAGCCAAAGCCTATTTTAAACAGGCCTTGGTATATAATAATATATCACTATACAAATAATGTGTTATGTTCGATTTTCATGTCATCTTAATTTACATGCTATCGAAAATAAGGATGAAAGCTAGAGGTATTACTAATATTATTATTAAACTAAATGTTTATTTGTAGACTGCTCTTGAACATCTCCAGAGAGAAAAAGAAACTGTAGATGTAATCTATTTATTATGTGAATAATCAATAGAATGGAAACACATATAGAAGAGAGATTACGTTCAGTTAACTTGAAACATGTTTGCAAGGCATTATCTAGTTCGACAATTAAGTGACTTTCCTAAACTCCAGAGAGAAGTGTATGGATATAAAAAATTAGAAAAATTTCTGCACCAGTTTTTTCATCTATTGTAATTTGCAGATTGTGCATAATAATAGTCCTTTGACTTTCTCATATCATCACGCGTTGTTTGAACATCGGAGAAACGTTCGCCGTCGTACACTAACAAAGAATCACATTCTGCATTGCGAAGGATAAATTAATTTCACAAGAATATTTCATAAACTTTGAAGGAACAATCTAAGTTAGTAAGTCTTATAGAGAACACAGAACTAACTGAGAAAGATTAGTTAGCAACAAGAGAAAAACTTTATTTTCTGTTTTCAGTACGTAAGTTGAGAATCACGAACAAATTTATAACTGTCCGGGCACTTTGTGATTATCTGTGTGCAAACATATAATTATAAATATCGAACTAATGAAAATGATTTGTATATGTTCGAAAAATTCTAATAGTTCAATTATATTCGAAGATATGTTATTTCTAAAGTATAGTAGAATTTCAAGGATCTCTAACAGAAATTATACTCTCGTCAGAGAAAGATATTGTTTGAAACAGCTAAGTTCCTACTATGTACTTTAAATCTTGAAATTTACTACGTGTCTAATATTTTTTTAACAGAAACTTTATTGTTCACATGTTATAGACTCACCGATATTGGTCGCAATAACGAAGGTTTGGCAAAGTGTTATTAATGCATATTTACATTTGATTTTCACTTTATATAAGCCAATCGAAAGGCTTCCGCAAATGTGTCGTGGGACAAACGAACAAAATGGGGAAGTCCCATAGCAATGTTGTAAATAGATACGCTTTCTCATGTCTTTTCAATAATGGAAAGATCCATTTAATATTTTCGTTTTTCTTATGCTCTGTTTATTTGATCATCATTTCGGGTTTTTTTCTTGGTGGACATTTGCCACTATCCAAGAATTAATTTAAAATTGAATAGACCAACAATCTTTGATCCAAAGTCATTAACGTATGGAAACAACCAACACAATCAAATTTAAACAACGACACTCAGCATGCTTCTATCCCACATTGTCAACGAAAATTAACCAACAAACGATAAAAAAAATAATGACGGTGGAAAGAAAAGAAAAGAAAGAGAAAAAATTCCCTGTATCACGATGCATGGGTTGAAAATAAAAAGAAATAGAACACGAAGAAGAAAAATAACCTTGTCTACAGGTAAGCGACACAATCACTACATTTTAGTTACATTTCTAATAAACATGTGATCTAATGTATAACATTTTATTATTTGTTCTTTTATTTATCTGTTGAGAAAGTAATAGTATATGAATGTAGAAATTTTCCTGGTGTTTTTCTAACTGGAACATTTAGAATAGTTAGTCTAATCCGACAGTTGTAAATGGAAAGTGCAGATCTTCAATATTCATCTTAATCAAACAGAATCTATCTATAAATATTAATCGACCTATTGAGATATGAAATAATGTCAAAGTAGAACATGTCGAGCAAACTTCAATATCAAATAGGAATCAAGAGCTTCGATTGCATGTTACAAGTGAATATCAAATGAATATCCACAATGAATTCAAGAATAAAAAAATATATGATCCCACTTGGATGTTGAGAAGATTAAAGAAAAAGAAACTTATTTTTATCAATACAGATACGTTGTTTAGTAAAGAATCGAAGTTGTTATAAATGTATCGATTTAATCTGATTGAGCAGAATAGATTGTTTTGGATGAAACTAATTAAATAATCGTCATATTTGCAACCAGTCGACGTATTTTGAGAGTGATGTGTGTTTTCATCAAATATTCCTTCACGTTTTGATTCGTTAAAAAGAGACATTAGCGATTAGAGGAAGATGTGAAAATTTTGTTTTCGTTATTAGCATTTCGAAAAACTATAATATGAGAGTTAATGGAAAAGAATAAGAAAGATTCGAACGTTCGAATGCTTCCTACCTACAATATCACTTCGTGTGTCATATTTCTGCTGACGTTATATGCTTCACACATGACACTTAATAGTTTTTTTCTTTTCATCATGTTTTGTGCCTTTTACCCGTTACGAAAAACAACCTATACTATAGTAATACAGAATGGAGTAAATGACGTCAAATATTTACACGATTGGCAAGCTTGGTGTTGTTGAATATCCATTATAATTTGTATTGAAAGCATAGTAGAATTGAATATTTTATATAAAACTTCAACCCACACGCCCCGCCATACATATTACTCATTGGAGTTTACTAATTCATGCAGGCGTGATAAAACAAAGCACTCTGACATTAGCAGATGAGTGACATAGATTAATCACATGTCATTGATAACGGTATTTTTCGTACTTTTTTTCAACCATCGAATATTACAATGGCAATCGCTCACAATTATTTACAGAATATACTGGATATACTTTTAAATAATCTGACACAAACATCAATTTTCCCAATAATTATTTAATTATAATCTTCTTTGTTGAAGAACAAATGTAAGAAAGATGACAAAATATTCAACTCAAAATCGATGAAAACGATAACGTTGCTGTCTTTGTTTAATACTCGTTTGTTAACCCATACAAGATTCAAGAAATAATGGGTGCTATGGAATGTCATATTTTAAAAACTATGAAAAACAAGATTTCTGAAATACACAACCAAAATAATGAATAAATTATTATATTAAAAATTTCAATATAAAAGAAAATATTTTCTGACATACATTCCGTCAAAGTAAAAAGTAGGGCAATAAATCACCATTACACAACTAAAGCATGACTTATAAGAAAGGTCACTGTAACTTGTACTTCTTAACTATGACATTTCATGAATCATCTTTCCTTTTTCAATCAAAATTTACATTTAAATACATATATATGATTCATTTCGAAATCTATATATTTTGTTTTGCCATCTTCGATTTAATGATCAATAATCGAACTGATAAGAAAAACAGATGGTAACACATTGAAATTTTTACCCGTCAGCAATTGTTTTATTCGTTCTTTCAATGGTAAATAATGAAACGAAAAAAAGAGGAAGAGAATAAAAGAAAGTACACGTGTTATACAACTCTCTATTACGAATATTATTTTGTTTATATTATTGCATTTTTCCCCTCTTATATATTTTTCACAGGACTAAGGTGCGAAAACTTCTCTACAGAGCAATTATTCGTACTTTCGATAAAAAAAAGAATTATTTATTCGCACTATCATGAGGGTGAGAGTGCGTGTAAAGGTGATAACAGCTAAATATTTTCTTATTATTGAGAATGTCTAAATTGAAACATGTAGGAAATGGTGGCATAGGGCATGTTGATAAGCAATTAATGGAGGTGTCCATGAAAATTTACTTCCTAAGTCGAAGAAAAACTCGTTCTCTGAATGAAATGTTCTTTGAGAATATTTCGTCGAAAGACACTTTGTTAATTCGGCGAAATATTTTTTTTTATGACAATTTGTCATAATGCTCCAAAGAATAAACTGTCGACGAATAGCTTGCAACCCCTGATAACAATAGTAGTTACACGTTAACAACCGAGCAATAACGAAACAAGCGGGCATTATCAGAATCGAATCAAAAACTGAATAGGATGTGAAAGCTAAGTGATGACGAATGACTAGTCAAACCAGAATGCACCTTTACTCGAGAATGATCTCCATCGATATTTCTTTATTTGTTCGTTTGTGTTTTGTTCGGAGAAAAATTGTATAGACTTTGAAACATGCAATCTTGATAAAGCTACATTCACATAATTCGCATATATAGTTAATATGAATAGCTTTCATAGTAGAATGTTGTCAAAGACTTTTCGATAATACTCAACAACAAGCTAATTATAACCGGTTTCAGCTTAAGACATTTGGACTGCATTGTTGGCAATGCATTGCAATACAAGTAGATGACAGAAAACGATTTTTTTATACTCAAAAGAGAAATATCAAGATTGAAAAAGAGTTATTGTTGATGCAATTGAATCTTGCTTAGTTCAATGCATCAGTAATGTATGTAAACGATACTATGTTCGAATGACCGAGACGTAGTGGCTTTAGATATCCATTTAAGAACCCAAGGATATTTCTCAGGAGACGCTGTAAAATTGAATAACTTCTTGATAAAGCCTAATTGGTACATATGAAAATCATCATCGTTAGCCAAGAATAGTCGTAGTTGCGGTGCCTTTTGCAATGTCTACTGCCAATTATGTTCGGATTATAATCCGTTACAGTACCAATCGAACAGCCACTGTAGTGTTGAACGAAGTGAAAGGCGAAATTTTCATCTAATCGCACACAGCTGGTACACATCTACTACCTTTTCTCGATACAGTTTGTTTTACTCCAACGTCATTTTCAGAGGCTTTTTAGGTCGTTTATGGGGTTTCTAATTGGTCTTTCAACAGTGTTGATCAAATAAAAAGAAAAGTAGATTCTAAACTGTAAGACTTCAATGGTTCCTAGACGTCGTATCCATATAAATCGATCAAAATTGGCTTTTCGGTCGTGCTTTAATGAGCCAAAATAGATGAAATTCTATATAGAAGTTGCTCAATAATGCGAGCAAAATAAAGTTTAAATGAACACTTCGTTTATGTATGATTCAATGTGTAAATGTGGGAAAACAAGACTGAATAAACGATATATAGCATATGCACATACAGAAATAAGAGAACTCAACAACACGTAATCGATTATTCACATCATAGGCATCTTAATGCAATATCTAGGTGTTCTTTCTTAATCGACGAATTTGAATTGCGCACATTAGTGTATATTCAACAATGAAACAATCGTTTTGCGAAGATACAAATTTTCAGGCATTACACAAAAACACGCAACTTACCTGAAATTAGGTCAAATAACGTCTGGCCATATATAAAATGAAAAGATAAAAAAAAACAGCTGGCGCAAGTTGGAAAATTCCAACTGACAAACAACAATAAGTTGGCAAAAACAACATAAAATAGAAGGAGAGAATAGAGAAAATTGTGCGCCACTGACTAGATTTAAAGTCACTTGTAAAAAAAATATCAGAGAAAAAGTTTGAAGTTTCTCCTTTCAAGTGTAAGCATGGAAGAGACTCATATAATTCATTTTTTTCTTCTGCAAGATACCATTAAACATGTTGTATGTCACACGAAACCTCAGTGAAACTTCACTGACATGTTTTTTTTTTCATTTGTAATATGGTCCACAGGCGTACTTAGCTATAAGTATGTTATAGATTACTTGGAAAAAAATACAGTCTAAGTTTTTTTCATTTTTTCTTATAAGCAATACTTGGAGAATACAATCTCAAAATATTGAAAACTATATAGATTAGTTTTCTATAATATTAAACTATTTTTGATTACTATTTCACAAATAATAAATAAACATTTGAAGATATAATTCATCTATATATAATGTTCAGTGTGTGCGCGTTTCTCTGTGCCGGGTCAAAGGTCATAAGGCTACAAGCAGATGGGAGTATAGGGTGTGGGTGTATGAAGAAAGCGAAGATCAATGCCCACACTCATACCCACACGCTCACACCCACATCCCAGTAACGGTCTCATTAGTCAAAATGAACCATAAAGATTAAAATAAAGTTAATATTCACAATGCACTGACGATTCTGATTAAAGTTTCGATAAATGAGAAACATGAATTTGAGCATCATCGTTGGTTGCATCATACCCAGTACCAAAGACACATTGACTTTACAAGGTATGCCAGCAAGTGGATTAGTTCGATGATGTAAGATATTGCATGCGTTATTCTCGAGATGAATAAATATGTGCATGAGAAATCTCACTCGAAAAGCATACACAATCAGTCTATAATGCATGAGGCTCAGTATTCTAGTGGTAGAATGTTCGCTTTGGAAGCGAGCGGCCCAGGTTCGATTCCTGGCTGGGCCCGTTTTTTTGTTCTTCGGTATTCTTTTACACTGAGCATGAAGTTACAATTGGTTGTTGGATGGTCGGCATCTTTTCTTTGTTCTGTTAAGCCTTATGATATGGCAGAGTGAATTTTAAAAGGATTAGGTGAAAATTGTCAATAGAGACACAATTCAATACATAGTTAGAAATCAATATGAGTCGTTTGTTCTGTCTCTCTCGCAATGGGATGATAAAGAATAACAAGCTACTTTACAGAAAGGTAGAATTTAAGAGGAACAATATTTACTTTCTTTCTCTCATTGGAGTATGACTCATTTCTCTGTGTTATTGCATCACGAGAGAGCGACAGAACATGCAATTCTATACCTTTTTGCGACTCTATACTTCCAAGCTATATCGATTTTTGGAGTTCTTCTGGAGGTATCTTCTCGAACACCTTTGCCTTGGTATATAAAATTTATATAGTATATTGAAAGTTGAATAGAAAAATCGTTTTATAGACATTTTCTTTCTGATATCGAATGATTTCTTTTCAATGATACTTCTCTAGTTTACAACATTAAGTTTTTGAATCGTTATACGCATTTATCAGATATTTTCCGGTGTCTATAGTTCGATGGATAGTTATTAGAAAAGTCAAGTACGATGAAAAGTAACTGCATGATTTGCTGATCTTTTGTACTTTTTCATTTTTAATATTTTTTTGATTTTTCGACGAAAACCAGCATTTGAAATGATTGATACATAGAAACTTGTTGCGAAAAATACGTATGAAAATAAATGAATTAATTCAGTAAATAATTTTTCCCAAGCCAATCGTAATGGTGTTTTATTCGATTGTTGTGTTATATTTGCATACGTTAATTGAGTAGCATACGGAGCGTATGTTATAATGGCGATAAGTGATTCTAATATTAACATTGCTGTTAATTGTGTATCAATTTGATTGATTATTGAACTGTTTAGATTGACAACTGGAAGCACACTATTAACGGGTTGAATTCTTCGTCGAGCAATTCTTCGAACATTTTTCATTAGTAGATAAGCCAATATCGAAATAACAATTACTGGTGAAGTTGAAGAAAATATCACTTGAAAGTAATTATCATAGAAAGCATAGAAACCTTCTATTGGACCACATATGCCATTGTGGATTCTATATAGAATAATCCGATGAACAAGAAGAAGAAACCAAAAGAGAGGAATTAATATGACCATTAAATATGCTAGAGAAATGCGATTACTCCATTGTCGACATTCTTAAACGAAAGTAAATACATTTAAAACAATATAAGATAAATCTTTAGAAATAAAATTCAAATAAAAATTTCTGATGATTTTTTTTTTGTTTTTGTTAACTTACTATTTGAACGTTGTGTTGACAAAAATCGATCGATTATTGCAAATGCAAATAAGCTAAAACCAACTACATTACCCCATATGGTACTAAATTGTCGAAGTTTACAAATAATAATGAAACGATTCATGAGCGAAAAACGAAAGCCATTTTGAATTATTCGTGTAAGTAATACAAAATTGAAATAATGAAAATCAGCTACTGCTGCCGAAAATAAATAAATTGAATAAGCTCGTTTACGAAATGATCGAGAACGAAATACAATCATATTACCAATACAACCAAGATTACCTATTATCCAAAGACATGAACCAAACCAAATATTGAGTTGATAGGGTGCAGCTAAAAGAGCCTCGCTGATACTGTTTGCAGTAGTATTCATCTTTAATCGATTAATACGAAACAACTGATTTCAAATTTCTGAATCGTTATTCAGTAAGAGTTATTATGTCTTTCCTTGAAAAGAATCACTTGTTAAATGTAAGAGTGTTTTATTCAGTCTTTTATAATTACAATTATGTTTCTGACAGGTGTGCATTCCCAGCTAATCACGATATCTATGTCCTTTATGAAAAACATTGTATACTATTCATATAGACTGATAAAATTCTTCTTTAAAAGATTTTCATATATAATTTAGATAGACAACAAACACTGAATGGATATATGTTCAAAAGAAATACAATTATTAATTGTCTGAATAATTATTGTGATTTCAATGCTTAGAAGCTATTTGAATCATCACTGCTGTTTAATGATTTCAAAAAATCTATTGATAAGGATCTTGTCTGTATGCATTATTTCATATGACAACACCAGATTATTGTCAACTGCAAAACATACGTTGAGTGATTTTAAAAAAAACAGAGATCATCTACACAGGCTTCTGTAAATGATTTGCTATCTTGTTGCTAATAAAAACTCGACATACCATACTTATTTACTGCCTAGTCCGTTCGTGTATTATTCTATTTTGCGATACAGTGGTATGAAGTAATTCATAAAAAAAGGCCATAGTCATGCAAAGATTGAAAGAAGGATTAGTATCGTCTGAAGCTGAGTTATTATCTGAATTGTAGTCCATCATGCCGTCAACGATCACGTGTCGATAAGTTCATCTTTCATCATATTGCTTTTTTCAAAGTTGAGTAAGGTGTCCCCGTAATGCAAAATTCAAATAAAATTTTGTTTCTGTTCATTTAAATATGGTGTGATAGCGCTTGAAAAGCTGATCACAGAGTGTGTGTGTAAATAGAATATAGACTGGTCCACGACAAACGGACGCTTGTTTCTGTGTTGTCAGAATGTTATCAGGTGGATTCTCAAAACATATTACATCATAGTCGTTAGTTTGGATGGATGTGGGTATGCGTGTGAGTGTGGATGTGGGTTTGAGTGTGGCTGTTATTGTCAGTGAAGAGAAGACACCCACACTCACTCTACCATACCCACACCCTTTGCTACAGTGAGTGACACAATATAGGACTCTATCAAATCGAATATTGATAAATCTTGGAAATAGCAAGTTCCTGTAATCGGATAGGAATTGGTAAACGTGAATGACATTTTAATTTCCTCTCAAGAAGTTGAATGTTCACAATTCCCGATGATACATAAGAAACGAATTTATCGAGACGAAATCGGTTTCAGATATGTCTTCTACATTAGACACTTTAAATGATGCTCTTCACCCCAAATTTTTGATGGCTCAAAACACAACAAATATTTTTCTCTCGACTATTATCACTCGCATTAAAGTATGTGAAAAGAAAACTTCGCTGAATAGATACAGATTACGATTGTTTGTCTCTCAGGTTATTTCTAACTTGCATCATAGTAATTCTCAATTGATTTCTTCCACTACCATCACCTCCATCTTCTCAATAGGAATATTGTGTCGTATGTTCAACCAATTGACGATTTCCAGTTGATAATAATAATTCTCGAAGCCAAAAATATTGTTCAAATTTAGCCATACATGCTTTAAGCATGATTCCATCTATCACTTCTGCCGAATCTGATTGCACTGCTGATCGATATTTTCAAGAATAAAAAACAGTTTCTATATGTTTATGTAATTGTAAAACATTGCAAAAATGTGTTTCATCGGAGATAAATTTCTGCGCTTGAAAGTAATGTTCAGTAGTAGGCCAAGTATATCCGTCGAGTTTAACGGGAGCTGGATAGAAATTACTGAATTCACCAAATGGATCGTTATGGTGATAAAAATAAAGTGAACCTTCTTCCGTGTTCGATTCAGAGAATGCAAAATAGTCTTTTTTCTACAGATACTTGCTCTTATTTATTACAGAACGAACATGCAAAGAGCATTTCATAAGGCATACAAAGTCTGACGGTGGGTGTGGGTGTGGATACCATCAGCTTTACATGGGTCTTTTCTACGTCCACACTCCACATTCACATCCACACCCACGCCACAAAATTGCTTTCATACGACAGTGTAGAAGATGTTTTAATTGATTCTTGTAATCGATTAAGATGTCTTAAGTCACTTGAGAAGTCTCTTGAGCAAGAGCGAAATCCGTCGTGATATGCTCTTCTAATGGCAAAGTTAAGCTTGGAGGGTTCCAGCAGAGTGGGCTGAGTTTTCACATCTATTCAGCCGACTCTTGGCTGATTACACTTTTACCCCGTGCCTGTGGAGGGTGTGGGTGTGGGGTAGAGAGCTGCGGGTCCTTCCAGACACGGGCCCGGACCCGGGTCCGACCGGGTCCGGGTCCGGGTCTGAAAATTTAGCTTTTACCGGGCCCGGGTCTAAACCTAAGAAGACAGTCAGACCCGGTCTGCATTAATTTATGAATGGAAATATATAACAATAACAATTGAAGTTAACAAAATTGAAAAAGAAACAGTCAGAAATAATTTTACACTCATTTGACCTTTAAAGTCTCCAATGAAGAGCTAAAATTGTGTTCCCTTTTCTGTTCATGTACACATAGGGTGTCAAATATTGATGAAAAGAGGATCGGGTCTAGACCCGGCCTGGTCTGGGTCTAGACTCAGCCGGGTCCGGGTCTGAAAATTTAGTTTTTCCGGGGCCCGGGTCCAAAAAAACATGGATCCGCAGCTCTCTAGTGTGGGGTAGGTGTCAGAGATGTGCGGGGCATTGATTTTCCATGCCCCGCGGGGCCCGCCCCGTAAAATTCATAAACCCGTCCCGTCCGAACCCCGTGGATATTCTTTTTGAGAATCCCCGCTCTGCCTGTGCCCCGGCAAATCTATGCCCGCTCCGCCCGTACCCCGCACAGGCAGCTCCTTGGACTGGCCCGCCCGACCCGCCATTTTTGTGATGGGCCCCGACCCGTCCCCGTGTAACCCGCAGAAATTTTTTATTTACCAAATACTTTATTTTTAATGATGCATTCCTTTTATGAATAATCATTTTTTTACAAAAACAAAACTCAAGTCTATATGAGATGATTTTGAATGATTCACTTTGTGATTGTCGACAAGCACGTATTTTTCTGGTTGTTCTTTTAAAAAACATTTTTATATTTGACGAATTACATTTAATATTACTCGATGACCAATGACTGAGAGATGAAGAAATAATTGTAGATGAACGATCAGTATTCGACGAAGCTGTCCTATCAAGTGATTCATCAGGAGATAAATCATGTAATTCGATCATACTTAAGTCTGACCAAAAGTTCTGGCAACATTATATAAAAATATAAAGATAAGTAGGCATCCTTAATTTTATTTTATCAAATATTGAGGACAGTTGCCATGATTATTTATACCAAGTTCGATCCCTTCCAACAATTTGTTAAAAGTTTTTTTCGAAAAAATTTTTAGATATCTTAGATATCGCATGAGCTGATCATGTTTCATTTATTTAATCAGTTAAACTACATTTGATAGAATTAGTTAGCGAAAAGTTACATAGCATCAGGCCTGGCGAAAATGATAGATATGATATTATATTGATGCCTTCTTCTGTCATGCAATTAATAACATTAGATGAGTATGAAGTCAACGATGACCGTCAAGCAATTTTGAACCTGATGTCTCTGTTTGTTTCCATATTTGATTAATAAAATTTTTTGGAGAGTTTTCAGCATAATACTTGTGGCTTACAGTCTTGCCTTTATCTACATTCAGGAGTATTTGATTTAAAGAATATACCAGACAAAGCATTTTCTAAAATCTTTATTCATAAGCAATAGTCTTTGACGATTCATCTTCAATAAGCCAGCCAGCATCGGATAACTTATGACTAACCTATCTAAAATAAATCTATATCTCATCACTAGCAGTACTCGAATGCAACTGATATGATCGAACAAGATTTTGCTAACTTTTCACAATAAATGAAATATGTTTAGCTTATGCGGTATCCATGATACCTAAAAATTTTTTCGAAAAAACTTCAAAAAACTTTTAACTAATCGTTGGAAAGGATCAAACTTGGTATAAATAACCATGGCAACTGTCCTCAAAATTTGATAAAATAAAATTAAAGATACCTCCTTATCTTTATATTTTTATATAATGTTGTCAGAACTTTTGGTCAGACCTAAGTAGTAATTCACAAAAAAATTCAAACGATAATTCTAAATATAAAATAAGTTTTAGTCCAGTTATTCACTTAATATAAATTGATAGTAGAAGTTGCGTATGACAGACGATAAAGAAAGAAACAAACAAATGGTAGACAATCTTGTACATAATAGGATGAAAGTAATGAACCAATCAATATGTACTTTGTACTACATACCTATACTAAGGACATCCCGTGATAAGTTTTGACGATCTTTCATCACACCCGAAAAAAAATGTTTACCCGCCCGAACCCGTGTATTTCATACCCGCTCCGCCCGAGACCCGTGTCATTTAAAAAAATTATTCCCCGCCCCGCTCGCCCGTGTGCCGGAAAATACCCGTGCCCCGTTAATCCCGCGTTTAATTAATTTTTTCTTCCCCGCCCGCCCGTCGCCACGTGGCCCCGCGGGGTGAACCCCGTGGACCGCACATCTCTGGTAGGTGTGGGTGTGTGGGTGTGGGTGTGGGTGTGTGGGTGTGTGGGTGTGTGGGTGTGTGGGTGGGTGTGGGTGGGTGTGGATGTGGGTGTGGGTGAGTGTGGGGTGTGGGTGGGATGTGGTTGAAGTGTAGAACCACTCCAAGATCCACACCCACATCCACACCCACACACGCACATCCACACCCACACACCCACACCCACACACCCACACCCACACACCCACATCCACACACCCACATCCACACTAGGGGTGGCACTTTATCTTTATTTCACTTTATTAAAGTAAAGTTGATCTACTTTACTTTATCGAGTAAAGTAAAGTAAATATACTTTATCGAAAAGTAAAGTAAAGTAAAGTAAAGTAAAGTGAAGTATCTCTAACTTTATCGAACAAGCAAAATATAGTAAAATAAGATTAAGAAAAGCATGTAGTTGATGATTATTCATTTCTTAGTTTATTATCATACATTAATCACACTTTAATATGTCAAAAGTTGCGTGAAATTACGGGTGAGAAGCCCCAAATTGTTTAAACCTGATTTTATTACTTTGAAAGTCAGCATCGAACTCTCAATATTCTTCACAATTCTGTATTTCACATGGTCACAACTCAAATTTTGATACTTGAGATCCCCTCAGATATCGAAAAAACAATTCTTTGGCTATTCAATTATAAGTCTTTGTAATTCAATAGCATGAAATGTGCAGATTATAAATATCTCATTTATTTTTAGAAAGTACTCAGATAATATGAAAGATCCGAAGCACTCCCTGGTATCATGAAGATCTTTTTTTTTTGAACAGGTTCATGAAAATCGTACCGAATTCGTTACAGCGAACTTAGAATAAATTTGACTTGACGAAAACTTTCTATTTTAACCACACACTCGTTGAGAAAACGTTTTCGTAACTAATTTTTATGAAATTTGGAGTATTTAACGGGGTAGCACAAGGATGACTTTGGTGTTAACTCATGCAATCTACCTGAAACTTTTTGTAGGTAGATCAGAGGTGACATTCCATCAATGATCTACTCAAGCAACTGGTTTGAGTTATGGGTGACCCATGGAGACACTAAAGCAGTGAGTACCCGTATCAATCCAACTGAGTTAACATCTCTAACTCGCACATGTTGACTTAGTTCTATGTTTTATTCACAGATATAACAGTTGTCTAAAGTCAAATGGGATTTTTATATTCGAAATCTACAGAATATTAGTCAAGCCAGAGGCAAACGGGATCTTAAGGATGTGGCTTTGAGGCAAAAACGATTTTACAGATTCGAGATTTTTCAGTCTAAAATGGTGCCATCAGAAAGAGCACATTCAAATGCACGTTTGGCAAAGCTATTCGACCACTGCAGCTATGGATACTCTAGTTTTGTAGGGCTAAAAACTGCGAGGGATAATATCATCCAATCGAGATAGTATTTCCCATTTATCGTAGAAAAAAAATCAAACATTCAATGGTTTCTTATATTTACTCATCAAGACGTCAATTCTGCAAAAAACGGACTTATTTTCGACAAGATAGAAGCATGTTTTAGTGGAATTTCTGGACACTGCTAGTTTTTAAATGAGTTAGAGTGTTTCCGGTCTTTCTTATAGTCTGAGCACTCCTCGAAGGTTATATAGACAGTTGAACCTTAAACATTTCAACGTCAATGTTTGAGTTACACATTTGGGTTCTGGGTGTCTGAACCTTCTAATAATTGGACTTTGGACAGTTGAGTCTCTTTACTTTTGACCCTCCTGCATTTCACTCTTGTCCAGTGAGTAAAATGTCTACGTGAACTTATTTGAAACCGTTTGGAAAAGTACTCTTGAACCAATTGTAGCAGTGAGTATGCAGGTGTTAGTAAAGCGTGGAGTAGGGATGTACGGAGATGGAGGCTGAATCGAGAATCTTTGTCTCGTTCATTCTCAACCGAGACTGGCCGAGACCGAGCGTCTCGGTCTCGATACATCCCCAGTGTGGTGGTACGGGCAGGTATCGGTGGACGTTAGTGTGAAGAGTGAGGATGAGTGATGGAAAGAACAACATCCACATCTGTAACCATACTCGTCAGTATTTTATTCAGGAAGTGCCCAAGGGAGCTGCGTTCCCACAAAAATCGAGTTCGCTCTCCAAGACTCGCGGAAGTAACTATGTACTTGCCCTCCTGAAAATAATTTTTCGCTTCCCGAAATTGCAAATCGCTCCTCTGGGGAAACAGACTTGGATAAAACACTGCTACTCATACCCACAATCCACATTCACACCAACATCCCACACCCACAGTTCACATTCACATCGGCATTCACACCCTACGACCGTTTACATCGCACCCTCTAGCTATAATAAATATTTCATGTAGGTAGTGGTTTGACTTGAAATGTGAAGAGGCCTAAAAGGCTACAACTCCGACCGTCAAGACGGTAGGTTATGATTTGCCCTAAATTCTGGTCCCCAGATTCATCCCTATATCGTGTCCCCATTTAGGGACAATTAAGGAATTATGGTCAATTCTGGTGACCAAATAGGGACTTTTATTTAGGGACTTTTCAATTTAGGGACTTTTTTTCTTAAATATACACTATACCACATAGACCACAATTCAATATCATCCTCTACCGTGCTGCAATCTTTTATAATTGAAACCAAATATCATGGCGAAAACTGTGGTATGGGTGAGTACTTTCTGGTCACCAGAATCGTTTTGTATTCATTATCTATAGTTATTCGCATACGCATTTGAAATTCAATTTTCTTTTTTTCTTTCTTCTATAGTTTATACGCCAAGAAAAGAAACAACATATCATCAGTGTGTGAAAAGGAAAATAGTCAGAGTTAAAATAAATGACACCATACATATTCGTTTCTACTGAAAATAAAAGTTTTCTTTAGTGCGTAGAAGGAGTGCAAGCAGTCTGTTTAGTCCGTTCTGTCGACCACAAGATCATTTTTTGTGACCAATATGTGTGAAGGACGTTAAAGAAGAACATTATTTTCTGGAATATAGTCGATAAGGAATGTAAACAATCTGTTTAAGTCTATTCTGTCCATCACAAAATCATTTTTCATGATAAATATGCTAAGATCGTCAAAGAAGAACATTATTTTTTAGAATATATTGCTTAGACTAAACAATAGCATAGGCGGACGACTGTGTGTTGTACGGTATAAATACTCCAAAAATAAACATTTTAGTCATAACTGTTTCTAACATACTTACAGTTCAGCGTATTAATTATACAATTCATTCAATGTAAGTTTATGCTTTTATAAACACTATTTCTGGATTGAATTTCTAATATTAATTTCTAGTCGTAGTAAGTTCTTACGATTCTCATAAGAGTATCAAACCTTTCTAATAATTAGCAATTGTACCTCGAAAAACTAAGTATATGTACAAGATACTCCTTGAGAATAAATTTTGCCGTGTCACTGTATACGCTAAGAAGCAAACAAACATTGTTTAACGAGATATACCTGTATATTCTTCTTTGGTTTATTTCTCTTGAAATTGCTGAAAGTATCTATAAACTATTTGCTTCTTAATTCTAGTAACCAGAATCTTAAAGAATTAGTTTTCCTTATCACACTCTGTTACAGAGTCAACTCTAATTACCAGAATTTTGAAGAATTAGTTTACCTTATTACACTCTTATAGAGTCAATTCTGGTTACCAGAATCTGAGAGAATCAGTTTTCCTTATCATACTCTATTCTAGAGACAATTCTGGTTACCAGAATCTGAGAGAATTAGTTTTCCTTATCACACTCCATTACAGAGTCAATTCTGGTTACTACAATCTAAAAGAATCAGTTATCCTTATCACACTCTTTTACAGTCAATTCTGGTTACCAGAATCTTAAGGAATTAGTTTTCGCTATCACACTCTATTATAGAGTCAATTCTGGTTACCAGAATCTGAGAGAAACAGTTATCCTTATCACACTCCATTACAGAGCAAATTCTGGTTACCAGAATCTGAGAGAATCAGTTTTCCTTATCGCACTCTTATAGAATCGATTCTGGTTACCAGAAT